CCCTAAACCCTAAATCCCAATATAGAATAGTAGTTTCTGCTTGCTGGTGACAAGGCTGCGCCTTCTCCGAGCCGTGCGGAAGAGCAACATGCTTGTTAGACTAGCTGACATGGAGCCCATGTTTCAGATCCTGGGCCAAGTTCCCAGCTTCTAGGACCCGAAACGCCTGAGCTGTGTTCCTTTCACTTCATTTCAGAAGCCAGCTGGGCTGTCTTACAGTTGAGCCTGTACCCTGATGCCAAGGTCTTAATCGTCTTTTCTGCAGTAAGCCGCAGTGGACTTGGTAATTAGACATCCCACGTATGGCCAGATGCCATCACACAGAGGCCCCGAGAAACATCCGCACTCGATCCTGGCTTCGTGGTGTACCGCGGTGCCAGGGCCCTTGAGTCACAAACATTGTCAAAAACAAGAACAACACGCTGCTGGGTACAGCTCAGCTTTGAAAAAGATATGGGGGCAGATGTTGATGATGAGGTGGCAGGTGTTAACACACCCAGTGGAGCCTTCGGAGAGTTTCACCATTCCAACGTGGTTCCACATGCAGGGTCCTCAGACTGAAACTGTCGCCGTCGTTGCTGGTGCATCACTGAGCCCTTTCTTTACGTTCTTAGGCCTGGAAGGGCATTAGCGTGTCCCTGGGCAGCCACGATTTCCTGCAGCAGCAGGACTGACCAACAAGCAATCGTGCTGCTGGGTTGGAATGTGAGAGCACCTGACGGGCTTGAATTTCGTGAATGCTATTGACAGGAAGGTTTCAAGCCAAATCAAGTGCATCTGCCCCAGATTTTACTCAGGTCTTCTTCTCAAAGCCCCTATGATGTAGGCGTGCGTCAATATTAGGGGCCATCCAGGGTTTCCAAAACCATGTTGGTGTCCCCCTGCTTTGGGAAACTACCATATAACCCATATGTAGCCCTAGCGTCCATTTCATTTTCCATTTGATGTTTCATTCTTCGTGTAACACCCCCACTAGGCTATCCTGATATATGCCCACTCTGAGCCCTAACTTCCTAAACCCTAAACCCCTACATCACACATATATAACGCTAAACCCCTACATAACCCATGAGACTAAAACCCGTAAGCCCTAGGCCTTAAGCCCCTACATAACCATTGGACCCTAAACCCTAATCAGTAAAAAGATCCGACAACAACAAAAAAAAATGAACCCATGGCACTCAAGGCCGGACAGGGGCACCACTGTTTTTCCACGCCTTTGGGTCCGGATCACCTGCTCCTCATGGCAAGGAGCTGAGAAAAAATCACCGGGTTTCAGGGTGTTTTAGGGTTTAGGATTAAGGGCTTAGGATTTAGGGATTTAGTGTTTTCAGGGTTCAGGTTTTATCAAGATTTAGGGTTTAGGGTTGATAGGGTTTAGGGTTTATAGAGAATTAGGGTTCAAGGTCTAGGATTCAGGGGGATGGGATACATAGGGTTTTTATGGGAATATGGGGGGGGGTCCTTACGTTGGATTCTACAGGAGGGTGGTGGGTTTGAGTTCAAGGTCCAGCTGGCTTCTCAGAATCCCCTCAGCGAGCAAGATTCATTTTCCTCTGGAGTCCGAACATTACAGTCCCCTAAGGGTCCAAGGACCCAAATAATAGGGCTTTAGGGCCCAAATACCGTTCATACTATGGTATTTGAGCCCTGAAACCCCATCATGTAGGTCCTTGGACCCTTAGAGCTATTAATCTCATTTTAGTTCTTCTGTCAGAGAGACGCTACCAGGTCGCATCGAGAGAAGCGGACTTCAAAGAGCACGTCTGGGCACAACCGTCATACAGTTGCTGGACCGCTAGGCAGGGCTTGGGCAAGTAGGAAAGAGTGCCACAATACCGTAATCTACTACAATCCTGATGATAGTCCCTATTTCAAATAAGAAGCCCATATAATATGGAAAATTCCCATGTAATCTTTATTAGCAAAGCCACCAAGACGCGCAGGTGCTGAAATTCCTGGTCCGCCAAACTGGGAGTCCGTACTCCCCTGAGCATGATGTTGCTTTAAGTTGATGATGACTGGCATGTCGAACTAGAATTTGAAACTGAAGTCCCATCATTGCAGGGGTTGTCCTCCAAAGGTGGTTGCAAAGGTTTTGGCACTTCAGACCCTGTGGACCCGTCTAGAAGGGCTCTGTTTGAAGGATAGCTGCATGACTGAACGTGTAGATGGCATCCCAATCGCGCTGCTGCCCACATTCAGCTGCATGAGGTCCCCACACACCTGATGGGAATTTCCCCTGTGAACGAGGCAGCCAGCCAAGCTGCACAATCTTCAGCATTTTAGGCCAGTTCTTTCTACGAGCACCCTGGCACAGTCAGGAGCCATGCAGCAAGTTCCCGCCGACGCTCAAGACGATGCAGTCGCAGGACGTTCAAAGAGTAGAGTAACTCCATGTTGAGCACGCTGCGAGCGCGCTCTCTTGCGCGACAGTCCGTGCTTATGCAAATATTTGCTGGAGTGATATGGAAGCGCGCTCAGCCCCATGTTGCAAGGTCTTGTTGACAGATAAGCATGGGCTCGTTGTTTTTCTGGTGGCCTTCTGATGCACGTGGGTCTCAGGACGATTGGGACATCGGCCGCACAAAGACACTGCGGGCTCCCAACAACATGCCAGAGCTCATCAACAATGAGAAAATCGAGCACAAGGTACCGGCCTCAATGATAGTGGCAGTAGATCAAACATGAACAGATGTTGGTTTGCAGCGAGCCAGGTTGTTTGTGCAGTGATCAGCGGGCATATGCGCCATGGCATCCGCATCGGTCAGAGGGAGTGACGCTGGCTGGTGATATCTTGAAATGACTTGCCTGGAAAGTTCGTGCTTCTCATACAGTACTTACGGCGATTTCCTTTATTCCCTGATTTCCTTTCATCCCCCAATAGGATCATTTTGCAAAGAGATCCAGGGAAAGTAGACATGATGGCTTCCCACAATCGGGGGACCCCAATATAGACCCTAATATACTATAATCCTAACTATAACAACCCCCAAAAAGCGTGACCCTAATTTTGGGATATATACCCTTATATAACCCCTATATCCCCCTTATAAAGAGGGACCCCTAATTTTGGGAAACCCCCAAACCCATGGCAGGCGAAGCTCTATCTACGACGTGGAGGAGCTCTATGGCCAATGCGGGGAGCTGTGCCTGGGAGGCACAGAACCATGGGGAACATAGTAGGGTTTAGGGTTTTAGGGTTTAAGGGTTTAGGGTTTAGGGGTGTAATACAGGTTTATATAGGGATAACGGAAAATAACATGGAAAGTACGGGGATTATAGGGGTAGTATAGTGGTTATAGGGTATATACTGGGGGTATGTAGGAATAATGGAAAAGAACATGGAAACTACTCTTCAGGAATTAGGGTCTCTGGTTAGTAGGGAATATAGGGGTAATATTGAGCATTGTATCTCACAATGAAGGATGGGGAGGTCCCAATGAAGGATCCTACAGGGGCAATTTTGAGAAAAAAATGTGATTGCCTGACTGACATAGAAAAAGTGCCCTTATGTGCCCTTCCAAGGAGGTTCCTATTCTAGTGCAAGTGGCCTGTAGGAGGGCTTTGATTTTCGCGGAACAAGCCCCCCAAACAGTAAATGTTGGCCCTGATATACAGGGGCACTGATTGGTGACTCTTGCAAGCTCCCATGTACCAGTGCTCTTGCGTCGGCAGCCCTTAGAACGCATTCCTGTGGCAAGCTTGTCTGGGCCATGGCTAGCTTCACCACAGCAACTCTTCTCGATTGCTGTGGAGATAAGTTACCGTAATATGGAAAGATATATATATATATACACACCTAGTCGACATGTTGATTTCCTGATTATGGTCACTTCATTTGGGGTCCCTAAAAATAACCCGCTGAGAAGGCTCGCCGACAGAGGTGGAGTTCGAGCTTCAGCTGAAAGTACAGGCTCCTAGTGCCCCTGACATGTTTGATCAAGAACAGACTTGCACGCCAGTTTCTGTTTGATTTTGACGTTGGGTCCCATTTAGATTAATTTAAAGTCACTTTAAGTAGACAGAACATGGCTTTGGGTACATTATACTAAGATGCCCATATACCCCATATTCTATCTACTTAAAGGGGGCTATAAGAACCCTAAGCAATATACAACCCTATGCATCCCATCTATCCCGAGACGTGCCTAGCCAGGCCCATGTGGCATTTGCCGATGCAGCTTGTCTGTGCTTCAGCCAGAAGGTGTGAATTCAGAGCCGCGGCGATCTCAGCATAATTTGAGCTGTAGCCTAAATTCCTTAAAGAGGGTTTTGTGGGGACTATATAGGGTTCCTATTATAAGGCTCATTAACGGGGAAACTAGGAGTTTAGACTATAGCTCATTTGGAGCAGTCTTCAAGTTCAAGATTTGACTACTTGTGCTACACTGTGAAGGCCGGAGCAGCATGCCGCAGCGCTGCTAGAGGTGAGTTTCGATGCATCAGCAGAGGCCGGACAGTCATTGTACATTCATTTTTGTTGCTTTAAGTTGCTGAGCTTGCGTCTTGGACTTAATGGCTTGAGACACGGCATGCAATGTCTCCCACTTGCACATGCATTCTGTTGGTTGCCAATCTGCAGAACGCCTTAAGCTTCCCATCATAGGAGGCTCGTCAGGTTTTGAAAGAGGCGCCACCAAAAACAAAAGTGGAGGGCTTCCAGGGGAATGTAAGCCCTGTACAATGTGCTGCTTTTTTCCCTACTTAGCCCCAGTAAGATGATCATCAGTCACTTACTTGAAGCTGACCACCCACTGGAAAAATCTGCAGAAGAAGTCAGGGTAACAAACTGCCTGAGGCCACCAGTAGATAGCTTCCAGCGCAGCTGCCACACAACTTCCCTGACCCCTGCCAACTGTGCCAGCAACAACAGTTAGACCGCAAATGCACAGTGCGAAGTATGGCATCAACACCGAGCATTTTGAGGGCCTAATTGTTGCAGCGCTTGATTCCCGAGTTGCAGGAGCATCTCCACTTTTACATATCCTCGTCGTACTTCGACTCCAATAGCACGTACAACGTGGAGCCGGGCGCGTTTGAGCCTGCAGCCCGCTGTTTCTTAAGACAGAAGATGCGCAAGAATTCTTATAAAATAAGATTAATAGCAGTAATGATAGAAATAACAATGGCAGTCATAACAATAACCGCAAGATAATGATAGTAGCAATCCTAAGAACAATCATAGCAGTTGTAGCAGTAGTGGTAGCAGTAGTAGTAGTAGTAGTAGTAGTTGTTGTTGTTGTTGTTGTTGTAATTGTAGGGTCACAGCAGCTGGCCAGGTTGCTCTCAACTGGGTCCTTCGTCCAGGTGCCCGCTTCATGTTTGCTTCACCTAAGCTGTAGTCTGATCTCCTTAAATGGGGCTACATCCAGGATTATATTGGGGAGTATTATCGGGGCTATAAAGGGAGAAAATGGGTTTTAGACTATAGCTCATATAGCACCACAGCAATGCAGCAACAGGAGAGATTCAAGCGGATTAGAGTTTATGATCAACAAGCTGGATCCAAGACTAAATGTTGTTTCCAAAATTAGGGTCCTCAACCAAGAAATATAGTACTTGGGGGTATATGACCTCCATTTTTGCAAATGCCCCAAGGGCATACAAACAACTTTTTGTGTGTGACCGCAATGCAAGGCCTGCGACTTGAAGCCGACATGGACTCTGATAACGTGTCGCCGAACTAGGCAAGAAAAAGGCATGTGAGCCATAATCTAAGCTCCTGAAAGGGGACTACGTAGGGGATTCTATAGAGGACTACTATAAAGGGGTTCATTAAGGAGGATACTGGGAGTTTAGACTATCGCTCATGTCAGTGCAGCTGGGCATCGTACACATTCAAGTTCCAGGGTCCATAGCAAGATGTTATGTCCCCTAACTCTGCGCCTCCCTAGCCAGATGCAGGGACTAGCTATTACAGGCTATTACTACTGCCATTTTTGTATTATTAGTACTATTAGTACTTCTGTTATTTTTTGTATTAGTACTATTATTCTGGGTGGAGAATCGGAAGATGAAACTTCTCTAAGTGCACTTTGAAGCAGCAGGCGGTTGCAAGCCAAGCAGCTCTTGCGGCTCGTTGCCTTTAAGATAATGACACCAAGAACTACAGGAAGCAGCGCCCCAGGGGCGAAGAGCTCCACATTATTCTTACTATGGTTACTGGTGCTATTATGATTACTTAATAAGAATTAGTATTAGCATTGGCTTTAGCTCATTAGCGTTTAAGGGTGGGCATGGCCAGTCTTCGTTTCCTGCTGTTCAGCTCGCAGCTCTTGGTAAGGACCCTATGGCTAGAATTTGGGTCCACACAAAGGGGGGGTCCCCGGTTAAGATTGGGTGCTGACTGGTGCCCGGAGGTGATTTGTTCCCGGTTTCCTCGCGAGATGTTTAAGGCTAAGGGCTGGATGGAAGAGACCGCCACCACCACCACCAGGACCGTCTTTGACTCCTTCCTAGCCACCCGCCGCGGCTGCCCACGTACGCGCCACAATTCAATATCTCCCCAACGAATGAGTTCCAGCACAATGAAGCGCATATTCTAAAGGAATATCCTAGTTCTAAGGTGTCTGCAGGGTCAGCCCTAGTTGAGGCGAACAGGGCGCGAAGCAGATCTGGGGGGTTGGGGCGGCAGATGGATTGATTGCATTGAGGCGGGTGGCATGGGGTCAAAAACAATCCTCATAAGAACGCCGAGCTACAGAATGGCCACAGTGCTGACTGCATAGTAGGCGGGCGACGTGAAATCAATGGCTTTTGGAGTAATCGGCGGGCGGAGACGATTTTTTGCTATACGATCGGGAGAAATAATCTATGTTCTTCATATTTCTCATCTTTCGTTTTTGATCGATAAGAGAATTTTGAATATTCTTGTATTTCATTTTCTGATTGATATATATACATATACATGATATGAGATTTCTGAATCTTATATTTACATTAATGGTATTCATATTTCAGTAATATAACGTAGCCGCTGGTGATTACTTTGCTTAGGAGCGATTATTTCGCTTACGAGCGAATTAATTCTTTATGAAAATATTTTTTTCATATATTTCTAGGGGTTCTATGATTTCTAAGATTTTCAAAATCTTTTGGAAAAATAGAAATTAGAAAATTTCGAGATAATCTGAAATAGGTGATTGAAGGAAAAAATACGTATTTTCTATTTTTTAATTATTGGAATGGTATTGATAGACATATTTATTCATTAATATATTTGGAGAGGATTAATATTTTTAATTTTATAGATTGAATATACGTAAATAGGGTTTTATTATATAGATAATTTAAGAAAAATAAATGATATATATAATTCGGGTCGGAGGTTAATGATATATGATTAATTTTCTTCTAGATCTGAAATAATATTTTTTATTGATTGAATAATTCTCTCATTTTCTATGGCTTCCGGGAATATATTTAATCTATTGATATGAGATGATTGTACGCCGCTCGGATTAATTTATGAGAATTATAGGAGAGGGAAGGCTTGCCTCGAAGGGGTGGGATTCTACGAATAAAATTCTCGAGGGAGTCGTTTATTTCTATTTTTCTAGCTAATTAAATATTAATTCGAAGGAATATATAAATTCTAGCCGGGCTAGAATTTGTAGTCGCTTGACTCGTATCTCCGGAGCAATTGATATATTTTTTTTAAATGATATCTGGGATGAGAATTAAATATTTTCAGAATTTATAAATTGGACGTATCTATCGCGGACTGCAAGCGACGCGCAGAGGAAGCCGCTGCTGAAACGGGAGTAGTCCTTCCATTCCGGCCGGAATATGTTGATGACGGCTTCTGTGGGGGCCGGGCGCGGGATATTATCCGATATTTCCGGGAGGAGATTAGATTGGCAGCAAAATTTGGTTTGAAGTACGACCTTGCCCAGTGTACGGTCTATCATTTGTCAGGCGATAGTTTCAGGAGGGATTCAGATTAAGTCGGGTTGTGACATTCAAATATTGAAGACGCCGGTTTCGGGACAACAGACTTTCATGAATGATTTCTGTGGTCTTAGGAAGGAAAACTTTGAATATTCTTTCCGAGCGGTAGAGGGATTACAGAACAAATACGTGGCGTTCCATCTCTTATAACAATGAATGGGATTTTGCCAACTTCAATATCTTGCCAGAACGGCTCCCCGCCAGTTCTTGGGCCCCTTGCTGGAGTGGGA